GGAGGAGGGGGGAGGGAGAAGAAGGAGGAGGAGGAGGAGCAAAGCACCTGATCTGAGCCAGGCTGGGTGTGTTCCCCGCCTCAGTGAGCAACATGGCACGGCCAAGGCGGCACACATGTCCACACACTGACCCGCAGCCCACAATGCTGCCTGCCTTAGTGCCCTCCCTGTGCCACCCCCTGGCCCCCTCACCTCCGAGGTCCTACCTCCTCTTTTGTTGTTGCTGTTTTTTTTTTTGAGACAGAGTCTTACTCTGTCCCCCAGGCTGGTGCACAGTGGTGCGATCTCAGCTCCCTGCAACCTCCGCCTCCTCCCAGGTTCAAGCAATTCTCCCACCTCAGCCTCCGAGTGGCTGGGATTACAGGTGCGTACCACCACACCTGGCTAATTTTTTGTATTTTTAGTAGTGACAGGGTTTCACCATGTTGCCCAGGCTGGTCTCGAACTCCTGACCTCAGGTAATCCTCTAGCCTCAACCTCTCAAAGTGCTGGGATTACAGGTGTGAGCCACTGTGCCTGGCCCTACCTCATCTTTAGGACTCACTGCAGGACACCCCAGGCTGGGATCCTCCTTTGTCACCCTGTTACACTCACCAGCTCACGGCTCATAGTCCCCCACTATATGCAGTCAGTCCTTGGGGATAGGGACCCTGTGCTGCTGTGTGTCCAGAGCCTTCATTTTGAAGGTGCCTGGAGGGTGGCTGCACGTTTTTGTTTCCTCGTGAGGGATTTTGAATTTATGTCACTAGTAGTGGCAGAGGCCCTGATCTCAGTGAGCTGCCTAAATTGCTGAACAGACAGAATAGCAATCCTCTGAATGGTGGAAACAGCTGCCTCGAGGCACCAGCCATACTGTCTGGCTTTGGTCCATCCTGCACGATTCTGCAAGGTAATTCTCACGCCCATTCTTACAGATGGCTCACTCTCACTCTCATAGGTGGAAACTGAGGTGCAAAGAGGCTGAGTAATTTGTCCAGGATCCAGGTTGGAAGCCAGACTCCAAACTCAGGTCTTCCCTGGATGCTAGAAACCTGGGCATGGAGGAAGGAGGGTGGCCTTGGGGACAAAGAAGAACATGTCAGGGTGGCTCCATGGGCCATAGGACAGGATGCTGTCCCCACTCTGTCTGTCCCCAAGGCAGCCTGGATGCTGTGCCTCAGGCAGGGTTCTACAGTATCTGCCAAGAAAGAGCAAGGAGGCATTGGCCAGAGAGAACCACCAGCAAGGGAGGCGTGGGCGGGCAGAGACCCAAGCGGCAGGGGACCTGTCCCTGCTCTGCTGCCGGCTGTGTCCCTGGTGGAGGATCTGGGGGCATCACAGGCCTCCGGGTGCCCACGCCCACCTTCCACCACTGCTCTCTGTCAGCCCAGACCCCAGGGCCCCGCCCTCACTGGGCCACAGGAAACGTCATCTCTCCCCAAGCTGCAGCTTCCCAGAACAATCACCAGTTTCCCCGACCTGCCCAGAAGGGGGAATGAGGGAAGCTGCTTCCTCTCCCCACCTGGTGCGTCACTGTCCACCCAGCTTCCTCTGGCTCCACGGATGCTCGGGCCGAGCCTGGCACACAGCGGCCCGTAACAAACTTGCCAAGTGAATGGAAGGCCAAGGAAGCAAGACACTCCCACTGAAGCGACCAGCCAATCTGCAGGGGCTCAAAGAAAAAAAAAAAAATCCCTTGCCACCAGAAATCACCTACATAAGGCTCTGAAACTGTATTTTCTCACCAGGCGCAGTGACTCATACCTGTAATCCCGGCACTTTGGGAGGCCAAGGAGGGTGGATTGCCTAAGCTTAGGAGTTCGAGAGCAGCCTGGCAACATGGCAAAACCCCATCTCTACAAAAAATACCAAAAAAAAAAAAAATTAGCTGGGTATGGTAGTGCACACCTGGGGTCCCAGCTACTCAAGAGGCTAAGGTCTGATGATCCCCGAGCCTGGGAGGCAGAAGCTGCAGTGATCTTTGTCCCCAGCCTGGGTGACAAAGCAAGACCCTGTCTCAAAAACAAACAAACAAACAAATAAACCTGTCTGTTCTCACCTGGTGGTCTGAAATTCTCTATCACGCCCCCACACATCCCTTCTTCCAGATACCTAACCCAAATCCTAGAGTCCGAATGACTTTGGTGATGACTTTTATCAGGCACTTACTATATTCCAGGTATCATCAAAGCTCTGGGTGGCTTTGCACACACATGCCACCTTCCACCAGTGACATTCCTTCCTTTCTTCCCTTCCTCCTCCCTCTCCAGTGCTCACACATTCTAAGGCCCAATTTCAGCATCACTTCCTCCAGGAAATCTTCCCAGATTCACCTGCTGAGAGTAAACCCTGATCCCCAAGGCCAGAATCTTGCTGGTCTCTAATCACCTTTACCAACCTCTGCCTAGTAGGATATATTATGTGATAGTTCTGTCTTTCCTTCCAGAGAGCACAGGAAGCACACCCTCACAGGTCAGGTTAAGGATTCTCAGTTCCACGGTGTGTTTCCACTTGGAAGCAGAAAGGAACATCGGAGGTATGGCCTGACCCCGCCATAGGCCTGGCATCTCTGAGAGCGCGATCAGGAGAGCACGAGGCAGCTCCCTCCCCCCGGGGCACTCACACCCCCATTTCGCAGATGGAGACTGAAGCACATGGCTTGGCCAGGACACAGGAGCCAGGTGTACTCAGGCAGAAGGCCAGCCACCTCCCAAGCTGGGCTCGAAGCTGCTTTGGCCCGCAGACCCAGACCCAATGCCACTTCCGGGTCGGTCTCCTCTGGAGAAGCAGCCACAGTGCTGAAGAAGGCCTGCACTGCTCCACAGGAATCCAGGAATCACGGCCGCCTGCCCACACCTGTGCCCCGAGGTGGCAAGAACAGGTGGGCCCTAAGGCAGCAAAATGCTCCAGCCTTTTGTAAATGGCAGCCCCCCAACCCACTTTGATCATTCCCAACCCCTCACCATCCAGCGCCTCAAGGGGTGATGCCTGGCACAGCAGTGGCGCCCTAGGACCCTGCCCTACATGCCCACCAAAGTCTGCTCTGCCTGGTGAGTGCCAGTATCCCCTGGTTGAGCCTGTTTCGGGACACACACACACACACAAAAATACGTGTACACACACACCCTGCCCTCGTGCCCCGGATGCTGTCCCTCACCCTTTCCTTAGCACAGTCTGGCATACGCCAAAGGACATCCCCATCTCCAACTCACCCGAAGCAGGCGACTAGCTGGCAGGGAGGGTTGCCTGTCTGACCTGGCACCTTCCTCTTCGCCCAGGTCCCCGCCCCCTGCCAGCCCAGGGCAGGGCTGAATCAGGAAGAGCACAGGATCACCGTGGTTCCTGCAGCAGGACCCGGGGATCCCCGTGCTGCTGCGGCCCCACCACTTCCCTGACCTTGGGCACCTGGTCCCGGCTTGCAAATGACTAAGCGATTTCCACCTCTGAGCCCATCTGCCAAGAGGCCCGGCTGGCTGCAGAACTACACCAGGATGCCCGGAGCCGCACGCGTGAAACCCATAATTGGCAAGCCTTCTTCTTGGGAAAGAAAACTCCATGTTTTGTTTTCCCCTTAAACGAAACAAATCCACCCACGTAGTTACTGGAAACTCAAGCATGTGAAACTGAACCGTTTGCAAAGAGAATTAGTCAGCCACCTTGTGAGCAGCGCGGTCCCTCTGGAGGTGGGGCTGCCTGTGCTCCTGAGGCCCCCACCGACTCCTCACTCA